GTATCTCCAACTTCTTGATAGATGCTTGCTGATTTTGAAAATTAGTATCAATTTGTTTGAATACTTTGTCTGTTTTCTGCCCATATTGATGAAATATTTTCCCCAAACTTGGTTTGTTCTCCTGCTGGGCATTATTTGAATCATTCCTTTGTTAATTATCTGACCATCTGAAATTCGGGTGCTGTCTCCATCATGTGTTATATGTTTGTGAATATGGGTTAAAGTTGTGAGTGCCATTCTGAATGAAGCTGATTTGTTCTTCGGGAAGGCCCATAAACATACAATTTTCTGTCAAATGGTTAGCTCCACAGTTTTCGCATGATGGACCACCCATCACTTCATGTGCTTCTCTCGTTTGTAATTTCACCAATAGCTTTACCTACTTTGTCAATGCTGATATCTGCACGTTGGTAGATGCCGTGCTATCTAATTCATACATCCCAGATGCTCTCGGTGGTACCACTCTTTCTGATAAAAATATTGAATGTATAGTGGCAATTAACTCAAATAAATATATGGTTTGTTGTACCGATTTTCCAATGATAGATCCACCAACAGAGGAATCTACCTGAGATTTTGACAGTGGCGAGAGTCCGGTATAGAATTACTGCACTTGATTGCCTATTGTGATTTCATGATTTGGACACTTTCGCATCAACTCTTTGAATTTGTTCCATGCCTCGTGATAGCTTTCTCCATCTTTCTGCTGGAAAATTTGAATTTCCAATCTGATTTTAGCTACTTTTGCCCGTTGGAAGAATTTGTTGCAGAATTTTTTGATCAGTTCTTCCCATGTAATAATGCTTCCATGAGGTTCGACATCTAACCATTCCAATGCAACATCTCTCAATGCATATGGAAATAATCGCAACTTAGTAGCATCTTTATTAACCCCCGAAGTATGGAAGTTCTGACAATTTTTGGGAAATTTGGAGATATACATGTTCGAATTTTCATGAGGTAGCCTGTAAAATTGAAGAGTGTTGCTCATCAAATTCTGCCCCTTATCTAAAAATTATTTACCCTAAAAGCTGAATACAGAATATTGGAACGCGCGACGTGGCTATTGCCGTCAAGAAAATTGAAACGGCGAGTCTCCTTCGTTTATTTTCCCTTGCTCCTACTGCTAATCCAGTGAGTATTCCCGCCTGTCGCGCGGGTGACCCAGTTCGTTCCCCAACAACGACGCTAAAAACTTGTTGCGTTTTTTATATCGTAAGTGTACGATATCGTAACAAGTAATATAGTGGACATTTGAGTTCGAATTATCGTTTCCACGAGAACTATACTTTAGGATTTAATCTAATTTTTATAACTCCTATTTGACAAAATCAAGTAAATATTTATAATGATTATGATTATTTTTTTCCTAACTACTTTTAACTAATTGAAAATATACAATGATTGCAAACAATGGATAATTGAAAATTTAAATATGTGATTAATATTAGGGAATAACAATTTCATCTATTGATCACATTTATTCTTAATTCAAGGTTCATAACCTAACGTAATGGTCGATCGAATTCTTATATTATATTCAATTTACTCATTTCGAGTTCTCATTTAACCTATTTAATTAATTTAATTCCATACCACTATGAGAATCAATTTTAGTTAAACGAAACACTAGTTCTAAAAATTCATACTATGACCGCAATAATTAGTATATATATCTCTACACATTATACTAATTTACCGAATTTTACTATATGGTCTAAATCTCAAACTCAAATCTCGATTCTTAAGAGACTCGCATAATCATCAAATTATTGATCAGGTAATTTAATGCACTAAACTCATGATAAAACCAACATATAAATAAATAAATCACATAAATCTTGAATAGAAAAATAAAGGATCAAAAGTTGACTACATTGTTTTCCCTAATATAAAAATTAGTTATTCATATTGTAAAAATAAAAACATGAAAAAGTGGAAGGATATCATCAAAAATTGACGGAACGTGAAAATTTATGGTGTTTGCAATCTCCTTTCCTTTTTTTTCCTTTCATTTCCTTTCTCCTTTCTGCAGCTTTTTTCTCTGTTGCTTTGACTTTTTTTTCCTTTTCTTTTTCTTTTCTCTCTCTTCCTTTCTTTCTTTCTCTCCTTTTTTTTTGCCCTTCCATCTTCCCTGCCGTGTGTGAATTCGTATCATCGTGTGTATCATATTATATATATGTGTGTGTGTGTGTGTGCGCGCGTGCATGCGCGTGCGTGTGTTTAATTTGGACCTCCAATTAAAATTTTCAATACAAATCTATTGAGACCCATTTAATTTGAACTCATTTAATGTAATATTTCTCTCCAAATTTTCATCTTTGAATTTTTGTCATTTTTCGCCACTTTTACATTTTTTTCTTCAATTTTTCATTAAACATAAAATTTTACTTACAAAACACAATATAACATAAATTAGGTAGAATTTAATTCAAAAGACAATAAAATATCATGATTTTGGACCACGAATAAGTGTATAAATTACACTTATCAACATCACTCCCTGGGAAAATAGGATTTCTCCTCAGGGGTCGGCACGAACATCTCAATATTGTTCGGAATTCTATACCTCTCCCTAAAACCCTTGAGCTCACTCTCTTTTATGTCAGTTGGCTACAAAGAAGCCCCCCACCTAATACTAAAATCTATGGGGGTCTCTGACATCATCCATGCACTGTGATGCCCCTCCCATGGCCTCCATAATCCTTTCAGTAGGGATTATAGGAGGCACACCCACCTCGATACAAATTAGTGTCATATTTCTTTGGAAGACCCCTCGAACGCATTCTTTCTTGAAGAAGAAGCCATTTTATAAGGACAAAACGGAGAGTTAGAAAATATGGGATACTTTCACAAAATTTGGGATGTTTTGAAATGAGAAAAAAAAGGTTGTTCGCCGGAGATAGCAGAAAAAAATGTTAGAAGATCGGGAGTATTTTCAGCACTTAGGGTTTGTAATTTTTGCAAGGTGAAGAAAATGGAGAAAAGTAGGTTTTCAGCCTTTTATATATGTGGAATGAATGAACCCCCACCGTTGGATCTTCCTTCACTTTAATTTGAGCCATCTACCTATAGTCTCATCTACCACGTTAAAACCAAAAGGTGCTTGTTAAAAATTCAAATCAAGGCCCTAACAAAATCGTGCTGTACACGCACCCTAGGTTCGCGTAAGCCTTGCTAGATGCAAAACATCATCATCATTGCGCATTAAATGCGCAAGTAGCTCGAACCTTGGAAATTGCCACATCACCCATCTGTTTGTCATAGGAACCAACTCTTCTTCCCAATCATTAGGGCACGTCGCCCAATGACCTTCAGCATTACTAGTGGCTCGACACCTAGTCTCAGGGCCTCGCCTTGAACCATTTAGCCTTACCACAGGCTCCGACGTTACTAAAGGCTCGACATTTTGTCCCAAGGCCTCGTTTTGAATCATTTAGCATTATTACAGGCTTCAACGTCACTAGGGGCTCGACACCTAGTCTAAGGGCCTCGCCTTTTATTGCTTAATTCACTTCGCGTGGTTTAGCTTTATCACGGGTCTCACTCACCTCGCACTACTCAACCTTGCCATAGGTCTCTACTCCATCAGAGAAACTCTTCAGTACCACTTCAACTTGAAAGTTCATGCATTATATAAATAATCATACATAGACTTCAGAAACTGTTGTTACACCTCGCCATACATGGACCCATATGTGGCCTCAACTGACTTACTCGCAAGTAGTTTGTGGGTTCCACGCATTACATGCTGGCATGGGACGGTCCCATTACGTACGGGCGATCCGCCTCAAGTGTAGGCGGTCCCTCTTTCCCCCGTATAGAAAGAACTGAGCCGAACCTGTTACGCACGAACCCCATTGGAAGATCGGGTATGGAACGAGACAGTAACAAGATCTTGGGCGGATCTTGTGCTACATGGTTGACAAGACAACTCGCTGCCACCGCCATCTTATTTGGTCAAGTTTAAAAGTTCAAGCCAGGCCTTAGGAGTACAAAAGTGGTCTTAGCACTTAAAGTTGTGATTGATTGATGTACATGATAAGAGAGGGTAGTTGCCTGGATGAGGCCACGTGCACTAGCATCCAGCTGACCTTATTCATTTTGCTTAAATATAAAAGCTCACACTAAGTGTCATTCAAGAGTAATGCAAGTTTAGACTCTCAAAACTATATTCTTGTTACACACATTTTGACCATTCACCCCCAAGCCAACCCCTTTTTTACGTATTGAAGGCTCACGTTCGAAACTCTCCCACACACTAAACTATTTCTCCAACTGACTTCACCGTCGGAGTGCACACGGCCAATTTCACCCCCTACGGAGAAGGCCACTTGTGAGTAACATTTTGTTCAAATGTGCAGAAATTCAACTTGTGTGGACGTGAAAGACATTGTGATCTGTTTTTCATATCATTGATACGTTTTTTGGGGATTAACAATTTTAAATAATATTTTTTGGAGAATGTAGGTTAAAAAGTAAGGAAAAAATTTGAATTTACATATAAAATATTTTATTATGTGAATATATGATTGAAAATGAATATTTATATATATAAAAAAAAAGAGTTTTCATGGAAAAAATTATTATAAAATTTAAACAAAATTTTCCCCTCAATAGCATATTCCACTACCCAAACAGTCCTCAATAGATTGTTTTCAAGTTGACTGGCACGAAAAGCGTTTGATATTTTCACCGTCCCCAATAACTGACTCTCCATTCATAACCAATCATAAGATTCCACGTCACCAATATATTCTCTATCACCCACAACTCTCTCTTTTCTGGCCATTTCCAGTTCCATCGTCCCAACCCCAAAAGAACTCTCTCTCGAGCGCGCACACACAAAAACCAACTACAGTCCTTTGTTCATGTTGTCGGAGCTCCGGCTCCCTTTTCGGAGCCCCGGCTCGTAATTCCACATACAGGGATTGGTATAAAATCTTAGATTTTGATTTGGAACCGAAAAATTTGTTTCTGATTATAGATCTTTGGAAGAAATGTCGAAATCACCATGGGGAAACATTGGCAATTGGGCCGCCGAATCGGAGAGAGCTGAAGCCGAAGAACGGGAACAGGCAGAACAAGCCGCTGCTGCCGCTCAAGCCGGAGGAAGTAATTTTCCTAGCCTGAAGGAGGCGGTGAACACAAAACAGAAGAAGAAAACCAAGATGAGCTTGCAGGAGTTCACGATGCAACCTAGTTTTGGCTCCGGTGCTTCTCCTCCTACCCGCGGCTTGACTCCCGAAGGAATGCTCCGGCTACCCACTGGACCCAAGGAGCGTTCATCAGACGAAATGCAGCACGGGCGGCTCGGCGGAGGGTTTCCTAGTTATGGAACCCGAACGGGGTCCGGATTTGGTGGCGGGTATTCCGATCGACCGACCCGGGAGTTTGAGAACCGGAGATCTTATGGAGGAGGGTTTGAGGACGAAAATCGCCGAGGCCAAACTAGGGTTTCGGGATTCGATCAACAAACTTCGAGAGCTGACGGAGTTGATAACTGGGCTTCGATGAAGAAAGCCCTACCCGAATACACTTCGGGTCCGGCGAGTCGTTCTGCAAGGTATGGGTCTCTTGGAGGATCCTCCGAGGGTTTTTCAAGGGCCGATGAAGTGGGCAGTTGGGCGGCTACGAAGAAGCCCATTGTGCAATCTCAGCCGCCACAGCAGGCGGGGTTCAGGGGGCCTGATCCCGATAGATGGACTCGAAATGAAGGTGAACGTCAGAGATTGGTTCTGGACCCTCCCAAAAGTGATCCTGGTGATGGTGCTGACGTGCTAGTTAAAGTGAACAAGTCGAATCCATTTGGTGCCGCAAGGCCGAGGGAGGAGATTTTAGCGGAGAAGGGATTAGATTGGAAGAGAATGGATATGGAAATTGAAGTGAAGAAGCAACATCAGTCTGTTAGCGGTAGTAGGCCTACTAGCTCACAGTCGAGTAGGCCTGAGAGTGCTCATTCGAGCAGATCAGATAGTATCACAGCATTGCAGCCAGGGATGGCTGAAGGGGCAGCCAAGCAAACACCAAAAGTGAACCCATTTGGTGATGCTAAGCCTAGGGAAGTCTTGCTTGAGCAGAAGGGCTTGGATTGGAGGAAGATTGACCTGGAATTGGAGCATCGACGTGTTGAGAGGTTCTCTTTTCATACTCTTCTCATTTAGTCATCCCCGTTGATTTAAATTCATTGATAGTTATCTTACTGACTGCAATTTTTGAATATTGGAAAAATATGTGTATTATGTTTGTCAGTCTCATTCCACTGTAGTCAATTCACATTTATAATAGCACCACTGTGTTTATTTTACATGCTGGACCTTTACATTTTTTGTGTTGTGATTTAATACTTGTAAGTTATATAAAATGCGTGTAATTCTAACTGGTGGCTGTAAGTTAACAGCTATCATGTTTGATTATTATCCTATGAACAGCTTTATACGTATTTTGAAGGTATTTGATGTTTTGGTACCTAATTGGAGAATGGAAGGGCCTATGACAATTTGTAATGACAAATTACATTTACAATTAAATTACATTTACAATTGTGCTTTATCCACACTGGATTCTTATAAATTGTTTAGTAATCAATGTCTTTTTCATCTTTTTTTTTTTTGTCTTAAGATCTAGAACTTGTATTTTTTTTCTTTTTTCATCTTTGATTTTCAGACATTTGGTGGTATTTTTTCGTGGTAAGATATCATATATAATCTAATGAAAAGAATTAATTACCTAGGCTCACAAGGCTCTTGGCTTGACCTCCACGTACTACCATGCTTGCTCCTTTTGGAACCTTGGATTTTAGAAAATAGAGGCAAGTTAACAAGAAAAAATGAAGAAAGAAAGAAAAAAATTGTTATGAACAGAGTCAATTAGAGCTCATGACTAGCGTTTACTTGGAATTCCTCTATGAGATTTCAATATCCTGTTGTATTTTGAACCTAGTTTCATTTACCAATGAGAAGAATGTAAGACAATTTTTCCTTTTAACTCAGATAATGTGAAGTTCACTAACTTCTATAGAAAATGTGGGTAGTTCTAACTGTGCTGGCTATATAGTTAACAGCTCAGATGTTTGTCAAATAAGCCCGTAAACAGCTCTATATTTTTTTGAAGTGTATTTGATGCTTTGATATCTAATTGAGCATGGTAAGGCCTATGACAATTTGCAATGACAGTTTACACTGTTGCTTTATTTATTGTTACATGTGTGGATATATCAACAATTTGTAAAGTGCCATGGCTTTTTTAATTATTCAATGTTTTTTAATGTCGTAAGTTGCTGAAAAACGTTTTAAATTGATATGTAATAAGGTGGATTTATCTAACTTGTCCCTTCATGATTTTCATATGCTTTGCAAGCTTAAGAGTCCAATCCCAAGAAGAAGTGATGTGAGCTATTATATTGAGGATATTATGCTTTAAATGCAGTCTCATCTGATGGAATATATTATGTGTGGGTGTTTGTGGGTGGAAGTCGCAGAAGTGATGGAATCTATTTGCAGATTGTGGTGATGGATGTAATGCTGTGATTGTGTGTGGGTTGTAGGAAGAGACTGAGAGTTGGCTGTGAAGTATCTCCGACCACTTGGTCATTCACTGTGACGGTGTCCGTTGGCTGTGGAATAGTATTCTGACTTCTCAACATATGGATTAGGTGTTGCCTAGACGTATAGATGACATGTTGCGTAGGGGTGGAAGTGGGTTGGGTCGGGTCAATTTTTGCCCCAACCTAAACCCAACCCAACCCAACATAACATTGTCGGTTTGTTCGAAATCCAACCCAACACAACCCATGTAAATGTTGAAACCCAACCCAACCCAACCCAACCCAATTATGTGTCAGTCGGTCGGGTTGGGTTTGTCGGTTTGAATCATAAATTCCAATTTTTTTGGCACATGTTGGAATTAGAAAGACTAAATATGATACCCTTCAGTAAAGCTCCTTTCCCCTATGCATTGTGTAATCTAAAAACATATTGTAGGAAATAACATGTGCAATTGCAAAATGAATTTGTACAGCTTATCCAACAAAAAATGGGGAACAAAATCAGGTTCATAAACTTAGAAGTTACAAACATATTTCCAGCATAATGTTAACATCAGCAGATTTTGAGAATCAAAATATAAGCGTTCATCATAAATTAGCTCATGTTTTTGGGTAAGACAGCAGTAAAAGTAATCACATATTAGACATATGGAAGGATACCTCAGAGCAGAGTTCCCACCATTTTTGCACAATTCGCCAACACAAAATGCTGCATTCCTCCTATTAGTCGAATAAGATGAACCTAATTCTTTAGGTACAATATTCACCACAGCCTGAAATTTGAAGTATATCCACTACATTAATGTCACATGACCAGAAATTAAAAGAAAATGCACTGTTAATTGCTCGGCATTACATTGACATAGCCAACAATTGGAGCACCCATACGCTGGGCAACTTCTGTTAGGGTCGCAACAACCATGGTACGATCTTGTGGGGGCCTTGATGCTCTTTGCAATTGCCATTACAGAAACCAGTGAGAAATGAAACAAAACAAGCGCAGCGATTTATATTCAGAAGTAATACAGTAAGCAACTTTCACTCACTGCAAATTTCATCAAAGGTGCAAAAAGCTGCCAAAAGATGGGGGCAAATTGAACACCCATGGCCTTAGTAAGGTCCGCCATAGTATCGAGCATCTGCTGTAAGGTCCGCCATAGATCTGCCATAGATTAGCATTCTTTTGAGCGAGAGAGCAGAGACTAGAGACTTGAGAGATGGGGGGATTGAGCGTGAGAGAAGGCGTTTTAGGATTTTGTTTTTACAAATATATAGAGAGATAATACCTTTGCAAATAATCTCGAGTCTTGACCTTCCGTAGCCATGGAGACGACGCCGCTGGAATGGAGTGGGAGGCGCGTTTAGAGAGAGAGAGAGAGACTCCTTTTGGAAGATAGGGTTTGGTTTGTAACTTTTTTTTTTATTTACTCTCTTTTGTTTTTCCTTTTGTTTTTTCAATTTAACGTCTTTTCTTTTTCTTTTTATTTTTTCTTTTTCGGGTTGGGTTGGGTTGGGTAGGGTTTAGGGTGCCAACCCGCGACCCGATCCGACCGCCCAACCCGAAACCGCCCAAAAAATGCAAAAAAAGATCCAAACCGGTCGGTTTGGGTCGGTTCGGTAGGTTTCGTCGGGTCGGTCGGTTTTTTGCCCACCCCTGCGGGTATGGAGGAGAAAACTTTGTGATAAGGATAGCAAGTTAGTTTGGAATCTTATCTTGGGATGCATTGTATGGTGTGTGTGGAGAGAAAGGAACAACCGATATTTTGAAGACTAAATACGGATCACATAGCAATTTAGAGAATTATTTTATCTGATTTTGTATACTTGATTCAATGCAGCGGCTAGTAATCTTATAGAGAGTCTGCCTAACTTCATATCTTTTCTTTCTTGTTTAAACTGATAATACACTTCCTGTGTATTCTTTTTTTATTAATAAAATTTTCTGAATACCTATAAAAAAAAAAAGAATTAGGAAATTCGTAGGGAAGATGAATGTTGGGCCAAGCAAGACTTAGTTCAAATTTAAGTATTGAAGGTGTTAGAAATTTGACCGTTGGAGAAGTGCAGGAGGAATCTTTGATAAGAAAGGACATTGAAGGAGAATGGATGAGTGTTGATTGGTGAGATCATCAAGATACAAAAAGAGCATTTTGTTTGGCAAGCTCTGCAAGAGACTCCTCTACATATGACATTTATCAGTGGGAAAAAGGGAAAATCTGAGTTCTTGTCATGATATATGTTCGAACCAAATGGCATAACGGAAGTTGTGAATAATTAAGCTTACCTAAAGCAATATGTTGAACACAGCATCAATCATAAGGATGGTTAGGTCTAAAAGTCAGGGTGGGTCTAGAATTCTAGATCACTGGTGGTTTCATAATTATCATGATAATCTTAATCCATATGTTAACAGTTTTCCTTTACATGAAGATATACTTATATATTCAATTTGGACTAGTAGAAGTTTAATATTCTAATATTAAGAAATGTACAATGCTTCAAGTAGGAGTCCTGATGGTGCGAACACCAATGGTTAATCCGAATTTAGGACTTGACCAAAATGGAAGTGTCAAAACAACCTAAATAAGTCTTGAATCTAATTCCCCCCTTAGTTATATGAAGTAATGTTGGTGAATATATTTCGTTGCTAATGAAATAAATAAGATTCAAATTTAAAATTAAATTATATGAATAGTGTAGGTGAAACTAGAAATTACAATTATCAAAGAATTAGAATTACATGGGCAAGTTGAGAAGGTCTTATAGCTGTATTATTTCACTGTATATGTTCTATATAAAATATAAATTCCTTAAAATAGCTAGTGTTGGATGACTAAAGATGATATATTTGCAACAATGCAGCAAAAATGTGAATCCTGAGAGCTTATAGATTGAATTAAAATTGAGCATGCTTGCAAAACTCTTTTTTCAGCTCCTGTAGGGGAAAACTTCTTCTCACTGCTGCCCTTGATTTCACACTTAGGTTCTACAATGTGATAAGTGATGTCACTATTTTACCGGATTAAAAGATGATTTGGATTTAGAAGTTGTTCTTTGATTTTCATGAAATTTTCACAGGAACAACTTCAACATCATAAATTCATTTCTTCCAGCTAAATTCTGCGCTTATAGTTGGACGGTAGAGACTTCATTTATCGCCTCTTTTGTCTTGAACTGGACTTAGTTTAGTGATTACAAACTCGTGTTTATAGTCCATTACTTCATTTATCAACTTTTTTGTCTTGAACTGGACTTTATCCAGTGATTCCAAACTCATGTTTATAGTCCATTATTTTCTTTACTGTTTCTGTTGCAATTCATATTGAGTAAATACATGTACTAAAACAGGATTCATGTAGTCTTTGATGTCGTGATTTTGCAAAGTTAAGATTAGGTGAGGGGAGTTGTAGTTGTATATGTATATTACATTCCATCTCATCTTTTTACATTGGCAATGGATATGGAATATGGTCTGGATTGGCGTGTGCCATGTAGTATCAGACGGGAATAGAACATTTTGATATTTGACACCACTTCTTTATTTTAACCTCTAATTAATAATTAAGAATTTTTTTTATTGTCACGTCTGGTGCTTTAAGTAAAGGGTATTCTGCGAAGACAAATTTTGGAATGATATCATTAACTTCGTAAAACCAGAATAGGATCATCCATTCATGGACATAGGTTTTAATATATTTGTGTTGTAATTGTAGTCCAAGTTTCTTCTGCTTGTTTGTGTCCTCTTGTGCCTTTTAGCCATGTGAGTCCATATAAACATTGTTCCTGGATACTGTGACTTTGCATAAAGATATACTTATCAAATATATTTTTAACTAATGATAGCAGTAGAATGCTCAGTTTGGACACGCTGTGTGGCTATTGAGCTGCGGTGGTAAGTGTGAATGTTTTGTGTGCTTTGGTTGGAAATGAGCTGCACCTGGTTATAATTATTGTATATTGTGTTGTAGTTAAGCTGCACCTGTTTATAAATATTGTATATTGTGGTGTAATCATCTTACTCAGGAAAAGAACAATAAAATTAGGACAAAATGCAGAGAAAAATGGAAATTATTATACTAACTGGGAAGTAATGTTTTAGGCCTGAGACAGAAGAGGAAAAAAGTTTGAAAGAAGAAATTGAGCACCTGAAAAAGGAATTTCTGGAAAAATCTGGTGAAGAGCAAAGCTGTTTACAGGATCTAATTCTTAAAAGAGAGAAGGACTTGGAACTGCTGACGCGGGAATTGGATGACAAAGTTCGTTATAGCCAGAAAGTGTTCGAAAGGCCCGGTTCTGGAGCTGGTAGGGGAGCTATCTCTATTGAGAGACCTCTTTCCCGGCCAGGAGCACACGAGGATCCTAGAGCTGGCCATTCCGAGAGACCACGTTCTCGACCTGGCTCATCTGAGCAGTATAGGCCCGGGTTTCCTGAGAGGCCTTCTTCCCGGCCTGGAACATACGAAGAGTCCAGATCTGGCTTTCCTGAGAGACCTTCCCGATCTGGATCATATGAAGAGTCTGGAGCTGGCTTTCCTGAGAGGTCTCCTTCCCTATCAGGGGCATATCATGATCCCAGAGCTGTTGACTACATGGAGAGGCCTCGATCTCGTGGCACCATAAATTCATGGACAAGGACGATTGATGGCAGAAAAGCTTCTCAAGGTGGTGGGCTTAGAGGATCAGTGGGCGGCAGAGACGGGGACAGGTATTTCTCGCTAACACACCTATTTTTCAAAATTTCTCTTGGTCTTGCAACATTTGTTCATAAAGTCCATGCAGTTAGGTCTTAGCATGATTATATACTTGAGATATATTGACCTCGAGTTAGGATATGTGATCTGTACTTTTTATCATGACACGTGGCAGGTCAAGGCCGAGGTGGTGAATTTCAGCTACTGTGGATTCGTTTAGCTGTTCTGCTTTTAGTCCTATGATGTTAGAGACTTAGAGCAAAATAAAACTTTGGCAGCTTTTGTTAAATCTCTCACAATTTGGTTGTGAGGAACGGAGCTAGAATTATTGAATACTGACATTGATATCGCTTGATTAATTGTAAAATTGCACTGTTTCTTTCTTTGAGTCGCATAACCTATTTTGCACATTTTTCATAGGGACTCTATTGTAATGCACACCTTGCTGTGCCACCCCGATTTTGGCTTTTCCCTTTCTCTTTCTTTTTCTGAGCCATAATGTTTTTTTTCCCTGTTCTTTATGATTTGTTTTCTTAAGCTGTTCTGATTCATTCTGCAATAGTTTTGTCTCATTTGGCTGCCATCTCTTGTAATATATTTAATAATAAAGAAGAAATATAAGTTATAATCGTGTTCGATTGTACCGTCCTGATGCCCTTGAGCATCCATGTATGTAGTAGAGCTTTATTTTCCACAAGATAAAATTGATTGCTTAAGGCCGTGTTTGGTTCTTTACTTCTGGACGAGATCAATGTGGAAAATAATAAAAATCCACAAAAAAATGATGAGTCCAATGGGGAACGCGCCCCCAGTCTCGGGTTCCGTAGACTAGAGCCTTGTCCGTCGGAGCGTAAGTCCTTTTGTGTTACAGATTTTCTTGTTAAGGTAAATAGCTTATTTTCCATCATCCCCCAACCCCAACAGGGAAGGGGGAATTGTAGTCACGGTATCAAATATTTCGCTTTTATGCAGATTTAATCTAATCCTTTAATTTGTAGCATTCATGGTATCAAACTTTTCAAAAACTTGCATTTGGAGTTCAAATGAACTAAATTTGCTAGTTTGATCATTTGTTGACCAAAAATTGAAAAATGTAACTTTATATTTTTCATATGAAAAAAATTAAAATAGAAGAATTAAATAAAAAAATGAAAATATTTTTCATCTTCGTCCCTCACCCCAAAACCAAAAATCAATCGGAAGAATTGGTTAAATAGCCTAGTCAAATTGTATTTGGTTAAATAATATAACCCCAATATTTTTTGGTCAAATGACCTTTAATTATAAAATACAATAGATAAATAATGTCAAATGTTATAAATATCTCCATCATTGGAAAATACATTAACACCCTTATCAATTCAATTAAAATTTCAATTCAATTTTAGGGCCCAAAATAACACCCAATCGATTTCTTTTATTTAGCTTTCAGGATTTCTACCATAAAATCACTTCTTTATTATATTCTTCACCTATTTTGAGTATCTTTTGGACATTTGAGCAATAGTTTGGTTACCATATTATCTACATTGAAATTTCAATTGCATTTGACAAAAGAAAAATATATATTTTTACAAATTTCACGTTCAATGTATTTTTATTATTGAATATAATATGGAATAATATTTTATAACTTATTAGTTTTCGTATTTATTGTATGTTTGCACTTTTGCAACTATTAGATGATAACAACACTCCAACTGTTAACTACAGTGTAGGACGGCACTACAATCATTATATTAAAAAAGGATAGTACAATCATTATCTGTTAGATATAACTCAAATGAGTTTAACTTATTGTTTCTTGGAGCACAGATAAGACGTGGTTATTTATAATCGTGTTTAAAAATAGAATAACACAATAACTGTTTTCTTCTGAGTAACGTCACTTGTATCGTTCTGTTGATTTCTTCTATATTTTAATTTGTTTTCAGTGCAACAACCGCAAGCATTAGACCCCTAATGTACGTAAGATATAAAGATTGATCATGTGACAATGAACGGTTGAAATGACATAAATTATATGATATAAAGTTGATGAATGCACAAGTGTATTAATTATTTTCATTAGAATATAAATAATGAGCATATCTATTAACTTTTGTAAATTTCATTTCCATCTTACAACTTAAATGATCGTATTTTAAAATAGAACGACACAAGGGTCGTTTTCTTCTCAGTAACTTCACTTGTGTTGTTTTGTTGATTTCTTCAATATTTTTATTTGTTTTCAACGCAATGACCTCAAACATTAGACCATTGACGTATGTAAGATAGAAAGGTAGATTACGTGACGAAGAAGGTTGAAAATACATATATTATATGATATAGAGTTGATGAAAGTACATGCGATTCTATTATTTTATTAGAATATAAGTAATAAGTATATCTCTCAATTTTTCTAAAAGTCATGTTCATCTTACAACTTAAATGCGTTAAATTTATTGTTTCTTGGGGCACGGATGGAACGGGTTGCTTATAATCATGTTTACAAATATGATGGCATAAGGGTCGTTTTCTTCTTAATAACGTCACTTGTATCACTGTGTTGGTTTCTTCTATATTTTAATTTCTCCAAATTGGACCCCTAACGTACGTAAGACAAAAATGTTGATCACGTGACAAAGAATGGTTGAAATGACTTAGATTGTATGATATAGAGTTGATGAAAGCACAAATGATTCTATTATTTTCATTAGAATAAAAGTAATGAGTATATATCTCAAATTTTATTAATATTATGTCTATCTTACAATTTAAATGAGTTCAATTTATTGGTTCTCGGGGCACGAATGTGGTGTGACTACTCACAATCGTGTTTAAAAATAGAACGATACAAGTGTCGTTTTCTTTCCAGTCAGTCGTTTCTTTTATTGATTTATTATATATTTTGATTTATTTCCAACGCAACGAATTCAAAATTGGACACCTATAAACTTTATGATAGAGTTGATGAAAGTAGAAATGGTTTTATTGTTTTCATTAGAATATAAGTAATGAGTACATCTCTCAACTTTTGTAAATATAATATTCGTCTTACATCTTAAATGTGATTAACTTATTGTTTTTCGGGGTACGGATGTGGCGTGACTGCTTATATATAATCGTGTTTATAAATAGAATTACACATGACTATTTTTTGCTCAGTAACGATACCTTTGCCGTTCTGATGATTTCTCTTATTTTTTGATAAATTATATACGAGAAATGTTAATCAAGTAACAAAGAATGGTTAAAGTGATATAAATTATATAATATCAAGTTGGTGAAAGTACAACTCACTCTCATATATTTCTCATGTATCATTCTAGGGTTACGGATAGGATGTGACTGTTTATATGTAAGTAATGGCACTTGTTCCATTCTCATAAATGTTTTCATCTTATTAACGGCACATGTTCGTTCTCATGGACACTTATATTTACAAACATAGCAACACTTGTGCCATTTTCATAAATGTTTTTATCTCAATAAGGACATTTGTTCAATTCTCATGAAAGCTTGTAACAAACATAACGACACTTTCATTATTCTCATGTCCCTCTTATAAGCTCAGTAACGACATGTGTTATTCTCATGGATGCTTATATCTTTAATAACATAACATGTGCTGTTATCATGGGATAACAATAAAATGAAAAGGAATGTACAACTGAAACGCAAACATTTAACTTAAAAGACATCAACATTATAAGCACATATACAACATTTAACTTAAATCGAACATGTACAACTAAAAAATCAATCTCTTGAAAAGTACGGACAAAAAATAACTTTAAAAATTTAACTAAATTTACGGATCAAAGTGCCATGCAAATATCTTCGCATCTAAGTTCTTCCAAGCACATACCACGTACAAACGTTGAGAGATGTGTTATTAACTTAATCGACACATATGATTAGGACGACTTGTGTTTTCACCATCTCAATAATATAAAAGTTATGTTATTTTAATCGTTTTTTGTGATATAGTTAATTTTTCTGTGTCATATGTGTTAGTGAGTCCAATATTAGAAGTCATTTCGTTGAAAAAATCGAACGACAATAAATAACGACTGCAGTGTCGTTTTATGTAGCAGATAAATACTGGAGTGGTGTTCTACATTTTAGATAGCAGTTAGAATGTCATTATCATCCAATGGTTGAGACAACACAAAAAATACACTAAATACGAAAACAACACCAACTAAATATTATTTAATACTATATTTCAATAATAAAAGTACAATCTATATGAAATTTCTAATATTGTCTTTTTTCTTTCTTGAAATGTAAAGTGATTTTTCAATATAGATGATATGTTAATCAAACTCTTGTTCAAATGTTTAAAAGATGCCCAAAATAAGTGAAGAACATAATAAAGGACGTGATTTTAGGGTAGTAAGAACGATGATTGAAGAGAATAAAATGGGTGATTGTGATTTTGAGGACCTAAAATTGAAGAAGATAAAAAGAGGAAGAATATGTTATTTTCAAAAAAATAGAAACAAGGGTTTTAAAATGAATTTGGGGGAGAAATGACAGGATCAAATAAGGAAAATTGAGGGTTATTGAATTAATAATTGAAGGAGAATTTTGTCATTTTGCCGACTAAAATATTTTGTTATATTTTTTTTTGTTTTTATTATTGATTAAAGGCAATTTCATCAAATAATTGTCGAAGCAAGCCAAATGGCCAAATTCCCCAAATCAAAGGACACCAAAACCACACAACTCCTACAGTTGAACCTAACTCCACTCATCCATCATGTCGCCACCCAGCGCTGCCATTATCTCCTTTGCCTCCGCCGTCTACTTTTTGCCAAAACCCCACAAAATTTACCACCATTACCCACAGTCGCACCACTACTACTCCCCCGAACACAACCACCCAATTTCCTGTCGGAATTCCGCCGTTTAACTCTCATCAATCGTCATTCTCCCATTCTCTTATCTCCTTTCGCCACCTCCTCCAGCCATTGCAATCTCCTTCGGCATCTGTAATAGTTGCTTTCCCCCTCTTCAATGCACATTTTTTTCTTGAAGTAATAAAGCCCTAATTTATTTATTTTTCATATTATTTATTTGATTAACATACTAGAAGAATGGCTGAGAGGGCAAGAGAAGAAAATTGAAAAATTCATGTTAGCATCTGTTGGGCAAATGTGATTGATTTGGAATGAATTTAACTGTTTGGATAGTGAGAAGTGAATCG